TTTTTAATTCGATTTTATTTATATATTTTTTTATTGTTATTTATGTTTTTCTTTTTTTTCCTGGCTTAGTTTCAACCAAAATATAGACTAATGCTAATAATAGTAATAGTATTAATAATTGTAAATGACCATTGGTCACACCACCAGTTTGTTTTACTGTAAACTTGGAGGAAGCCAGCAGCGCACACCCTCTCCGTCACACGTGCGATTGATTTATTGGTGATATACAGAACAGTGAGAACAACACAACTAAAGATGAACAAAGAGGTACGTTCAAAGAAGAGTTCCTCGTGGATCTACTTAGAACTGACAATTGCAAATGAAAAAAATGTGTGTAGCTACAAAACATTTTTTGGGGGGGTTATGTCTGCGGCGGCGAATAATCGATTAATATTCGCCAGGGCTGTCCGATTTTCGATTTTGATCATGGTCGGTTTCTGGCATCCCTAGTCCGAACCATCCCTTCTCTTTTTGAGAATATTATTTTGTGATGCATGTTCCTTGTTAAACAAAGAGTAATAATAGTACCAACGTTTTCCTGCCAATTCGGCTATTAATCTCTGATATTGGCAGTCAAATCAGGCTTCTTGGATTGAATCGTCGAAAAGTTGTCTTTTTCTGCATCACTCCTTGTTTAAATCCCCAATATAATTATTGTAGATTATTTGATACTCTTGTACATACAGTATTGTTCACACGTTTACCGGGGTGTGAAGTTCTCAATCTTTCAAATGACTATACAGTATGCTCCCATCTTCTGCTCACCTATATCGAGCTATAAATAAGGTGTCATCACAAGGTTGTTGTGTGCCAAGATTTTACGGTGTTAGTCATGAAATTATCCCACATAAAAGAGAGTGCTAAGGAACCTTATGCTTTGTATAAATGTACGTTTTTGAGTGTTTACGACAGAGAACCACGGTAAAAGCTTCTCACATTATGGTTGTTTTTCAATTTCATACTCTTATAATCTCTGTGGGTCTGACACCAACCAACCTCATTGATTGGTTGAGAGTCTAGCAACAGGTTATATATATAACACTTAATTCTGGAGCACACAAACTGAGCAGCTCCAGGCAATAGCTAGTACCCCTGTTGCAGAATATTTGAGCAATAAACTAAGAATGATGTGTAATCCATACATCAAACATCCTGGAAAGAACTCCTGCACAATATAGTGTCATGTTTAGTGAACACATACATTTAAATGTTTCCACTATTAACACTTTTCTGGGTTAATTCCTTGCAATTTCTTACTAATTATGTATTTAAGGCTGTAACATTTATGCCACGAGGGATCTAATGTCACTTATGTCTGATAGCAGCGCTGTTTCAGGCTTTGTGGAAATGTCCCTGAAAATGTCAGAGTAGAGAGGGCACTAAAGCCAATCAGTGCCAGCTAGTTTCATCATTACAGGCTTTTGTCTGTATCTCATCATCCAAGTAGCTGCAGATAAAAGAACATTTTGGTCCAACAAACTCACAGCTGTTCTGGATGCTTAGAAGCCTTGCTGCTGGGCATTAAAGGACTCTGACTGTCTGATGTTTGAACCAAAACATCCTGTACTGAAAGTTTTTTTCCCCCTCTTTTATGCATTTGGAATGGAGTAATATGTGTCCAGAGTTACGGAAATAAAAGAAAGTTGAAACTGAGAAAAAGTACTTTTTACTGGCTTGTCATCTGAAGTCTGTTTGAAACACAGGATTTGTTTTCTTTTCCCAAGCTTTCATCCTCTGATGTGTGCAGAAGATACTCGTGTGTGTGTGTGGCTCATATTCACCCTGTTCTGCTCCCTCCAGTGGCTGCGCAGCCTGTCATCCAGCCGTCGAGCAGCGGAGGCCCACTGCGCTGCCATCCTGCGCATGCGCCTCTTCATGAAGCTCAGGGACTCCTTCCCCGTGCCCACCTGCTCCAGCAGAGCCCCGATGTCAGACTGGAAAACAGCCTGGAAGACAGGAGCAGTACAAATCAAAGTCAACTTTATTGTCAATCATTCAGTTTGTGTGTACAGACAGAGAAATTTAAATGCCGTGTCACACAATCCCGAATACAAAAATACAAATATATAAAAATATGTATACAAATATGTATATCCTATATATAAACAATCAACAGACACATTTATACATATGCACACACTTCAATAGCTTTGAGAAATGTGCATTATTGCAAGATTGTCCATAGCAGCGTACAAAGGTGCTGGATTTGAGTGTGTGAGTGTGTGTGGGGTGTGGATATGACTGGAAAGGAAATGTACAGAATACAGTGGCTTATTTTTTACACCAGTGTCTCATTTCTTCTTCTTTCTTATAAAGATAATTTTGGGCCAGAGAGCACCTTTGTTGGAATAGGGAGGTACAGCGGATTTCATCACCTGAAATGTTCTGGTGGCTCAGGAGTCAAACCTGCGTACTTATCAGCGAACACCGCCTATGGGCCGTCAGGGTTAGCCAATAAGCTATCCGATGGCCCCAAAGCCTCTTTCTTTATGGTGAGATACTTTATTGCCACTATGCTGCTGTTCAAGCCAACAATACAACCAAATTGGGAAGCCGCCCCCATATGTTAAAAACAATATAAAAGAAAGTCAAATTAAAAAGATGCCACTATAAAAATTCAACAATGGAAAGTTAGGAACTAGTGATAAGGTAAGATAAGATGGACCTTTGTTAATCCCTGTGGGGAAGTTCAGGAGTTTAAGTAGCAACCGAGTGAGATCTTAAATAGTTGCTGTGGCTGTCAATATGAGAGAAACATGCAATACTGTTACATATGGTGAATTAATCTGAACATTTTTTGCAATGAAAACAAAAATATCAAAGAGTATTCTGCCTTTCTGCTGGTTTCAGGATAATTCAATAAGAGAAAATTATTTATTATAACAAAGTAAGAGCCAAAAAGCATTAAGCCGTTGTTTTATTATTAACATAATTACAAACACCAACCAGATTTGTAATTGACCACTTCTGGTACTTGTCACATGGGTGCAGTTCATGGTATTAAGGGCAGCTGTTGTGGGGTTTGTTGATGACAAAGAGGGTGAGCTGAGCTCTGATATTCTCTGTTGACCGTTTGGTCCTACCTGGGTTAACGTTTTTTTGTCTTTGTTAAACATCGTAAACGTTACCTTTAGTACGGACTTTTCAATGTAAGGTGTCACAGCATGAGCCAAGTTTAGCCTCTAGGCAACTTCGTTTATTGGGAATGTTGTCGCTTCAAATGTTGTTTTTTCAAAAAGGAAACAAAAACAGTTTATTATTTTCAAGTGCAGTTTTTTTACTGATACTCTCTTTTAACCTACTCAAAAAAAACCTTTGTATTATGTGTCTATTTTTCAAGTTCAAATCATAATTCTTATAGAAGTTTTATATGTGGTACAGCCCTAATAATAGCAGTACTCAAAAGGCTTTCCAGCAGGTAAAAAACCATAAATGATAGCAGCATACAAGATGCACACCAGTAGCATTAGTCCAGATGTTTTACACCAAAAAACACAAAACAACAGGCTGTTATTCAGATGTATAACATAGCCTGAAGCAGGGAGCATGAAGCCAGGAGCACGCACTAAAAAACGTCATTATTAGGTCTGTTTTTTGATTTTTCCTATTTTATTGAGGAGCCTGTGATCTATGTTATCCTGTTTATCTCTCGGATGCCCAGCCGCTAGCCCTCTCAGACAGCGATTGCCTGAGGGTGGGGATCCTGGATCATCCCCTTCTCGTATAATATGTCTGTTCTCATTTACATCTGCTCCTCTGGCCCACCATCACTTCATACTGCCTTTATCACCTGGCCGGTTCCTGGTTTTTTATTTTAATCAATGTGAGGTTAACTGCTATGGGGGAGTCCTACAGTATTTCGTAATCTACTAATATTGTTATACAGAAGAAGAGAGAACCTGTGCACCCATACGACTGGGCTCCTTCCTATTACCTCTTCGTGAAATATCCAAGTATTCCTTCTCAGAGACAAATCAATTTTCCTGCAGACTGAGACTGCCCCTCTCACACTGCTGGGGGGAATGATGCGCTCAGCGAGCCATCTGCTTGGTGTGCGGCCTACAGCAACTATGTCAGAGTTTACCTAAGGGGTATTGGTTCCTTGGATTTATGTCTCAGTGAATACAGGCTGGTATTTGGTAGCAGTTTAAGGTAGACCTGTTCAGAACGCTATCACAACAAGGGCTCGTTTTGCCTGCCCGGCGCTTTTATTATTCTTTTTTAGTCTGTTTTACTCTGGGGGAGAAAGAGTGTCTGTAGTGGCTGGGGTGTGTGGTGTGTGTTAATAGGATTGGTGTGTTTATAATGTTGAGGATGGGTGAATTGTGTATAGGACATGCATCATGTGTTGTATTGCAGTAAAACTAGACAGGGAATGGATGCGGAAAAGCAAAGTACGAATATCTAGGTAGTGACAGGCAGCACGCACCTCTAGACAGTCCGCTAGTGTGGTATTTCTGTCTGCCCAGGTAGCTTATTTATCAGGAAATGAAGTGTGATAAATGCTCTGCTGTTACTTGCCGAAATACGTTTTAAAGCTACTCTGCCAAGCATCGTGTCTAAATGCGTACAAATATCGATCAGTATGGCAGTAAGACATTGGTCGTGTTTTAGCATTCTTGTCCTGTGGTGTTCTTTGTCATTTTAATGCTCAATGATTAAATGAACATTGGCAGTTTAGCTTTCAATTGTTGTTATACTTCTTCGTATTCCTTGTCACTGTTCTAATGCTCTTTATGTCATTTCTGTGTAACAATTTGTATTAAATATATGATTATATATTATATACTTAAGTTGTTTCATGCCACCTGCGCCTTTTCGAACTCCAGGTGAAGTATTTAAAAAAAAACCTTTCTCTTTTCCCCAGGGATTTCTTCTTCACACTGAAGCTGGTTTGAGACAACAGAACAATCTCTAGTGCAGAGACAGGTAAGTTGTTACCATTGTTTGGACAACACTTGGGAAACAGCAGTCATGGCCCATGCAACAGTGCCTGATGC